GAGTGAGAAAAAAAACGCCATTACTTATGGGGCGACCCAATATTATTATCATAACGACTTAAACACTATCAAATGTATTGTAAATTAACATTTGTAATTATCACTAGAAGTCTTACTACCATTGCAGTGATGCGGAGCAATCATAAGAAGTGCAATTACTTAATGTTATTTTGTAATGTTAATGAATTACCCCAATGAGCAGCTTATTTCACGCCATCAAGAACTAAGCATGAGTAAAGCTCACTTGAACATATACTCGGTGAGAATGGTTCAATTCGCACTATTATCCACGAAAAAACCGACCAACAAAACGTGAATTGTGGGCAATACACAAACGCGAGAAACGGGAGTATGCGCGTGTATTGATATCAATTCACGCGGCGTTCAACGTGTTAAACTCACTCTTTATGTTTAAAGACACATGGTACGCTCATACATTGAGGGTGTATGAGACTATCAGCCCCCCAGATGTCGATGTGTCGTGGTCCCCCCGCCCAAACATGCCCAGGAATGGAGATACAGGGCCGTGAAACACGCTAATTCCTCCATGCTCCGCCCACTGCCTTTTTACGGCGCAGATTCCCGCCGTTCATAACATCCGTCGTAAGCGCGCCTGTCGCGTGCGGCTCCTTGGCACTTTGCCAAGTCCTTTAATTGCGCTCTCAAATACAAGTAAAACGCAATTTCCTGATGCGGATAACATTGGAGGTGCTACAAAATAAGAGCAGAAGATGATGACGAGGGTCAGAACTTAAAAGCAACTGTGCCACTTCTGCAACATCCCTCGGAGGCCACGTATTTCCACGAAACATGAAAATAAAAACGGCATACTCGTTAGTTTAATACAAGCAAAACGCAATTTCCTGATGCGAATAAAATTTGAGGTGTTGCTCATGCTTCAAAATCCATGTACAAGGAGATGAAGATGACACAGGCTAGAAATGAAGCACAACGATGTAAATGTAAACAAAACAAAAATGAAAAAATCAAGGAAAGGCAAATTAGATAAACTGGCCTGTAAATTTCTACGATCCGGCGCCAAAGCCATAGAAATACTTAGAACAAACGAGTGGGACGCTTGGGCTGTTTTTATTTTCATGTTTTGTGGAATGCGCGGCCCTTGATGGATACTGCAGATGCAGCCGAGTTGCTCTTGAGTTCTGCCCCTTGTCATCATCTTCTGCTCTTATTTTGTAGCACCTCCAATGGTCAGGAAATTGCGTTTTACTCGTATTTGAGAGCGCAATTAAAGGACTTGGCAAAGTGCCAAGGAGCCGCACGCGACACGCGCGCTTACGACGGATGTTATGAACGGCGGGAATCTGCGCCGTAAAAAGGCAGTGGGCCGGTAGCATGGAAGAATTAGCGTGTTTCACGGCCCTGTATCTCCATTCCCGGGCATGTTTGGGCGGGGGGACCACGACACATCGACATCTGGGGGGCTGATAGTCTCATACACCCTCAATGTTTATGAGCGTACTATGTGTCTTTAAGCGGAATCGCTACAGCATGTTTCCTCTCACGAGGGAGCCGCCTCTAAAGGACAAGGGCAGACGATGAGCGTACACGCCACCTCCCGGCGACGGCCAGCGCACGTCATAACCGCCTCGTCGTCTAACCTCTCATATGGAGAGAAATTTCGGTTGACAACAGCCCCGTAACCGTGGCAGTGCAGGAACAGAGCGAAGATTACCTGATGGGTAGAAGACATTCGTTGTCAAGATAGACAGGTTCGCAGAGGTTGCAATAGATTTAGAACTTGAAAGTGCGCTGAGGCTGTCATTCGCCATCCTAGCTCCACACACCAGCCGGTGGCCCCAAGCCGTTATAATGATGCAACGTTCATACCTGACCTCCATCGTACTTATGTGTGAGTATATCTCTCGCCATTCTGTTGTTGTCCCTGGTCACTATTCCCAGTTTTAAATCTATTCGTGCATCGATTCTCGCCCGGTGTTGAACGTCAGATGCAAGGAGGAGGCTTTAAAACGCTCTGACTGGATTGGTTCGCCCGGAAGGGAGCCACCAGGAATTCAAAGGCAGTTGGTACGATGAATCCCCGAGACGAGTAAAATAATATACTCCTAGCAGGACGGAATTCTGCGCCCCTAGCAGACGCTCTGCAGCACCTTTTCAAGGAAGGTGCCTTATAGCCCTATCAGGCTGCAACATACCGGCCCGGACGCCACCGCGTCCGCCCGCCCACAAATGACGGCCGTACCTGATGCTCGTATTGCTTCATTTGCTAAGTAAAATATGAAGCGAAGGGATTGGTATGAAGCGGCTGCGGTGCTGCATGGATATATGAGTAAATACGTGCAGCCAGACCTACCACAGGGCCGTCGGCAAGATGTCCAAGTGAAACTCGCCGAAAATTCCGAAAATTGCTTTTCGGGTCAATAAGAACAAAGGGACGCAGCATTTTAACCGTTTCACTTAGTTTCTTTGCCCATTTTCCTGCTATGTAGCAGCCTGCTAGCATTTAGACCGTTTACCAAATTATCGTGCCATATGCCTTCAAGATCCGAACCGCGCGCCGCTTGTCCTCCACCCATACTTTGCTAAAACTCGAAAATCACCATTCAGCACCTGATGGGAACGAGGAATACATTTGATGTTTATCCTGGACAGGTTCAGCCAGAAAACGATAACAATACAACAGCAAGCCAGCCAACTATAACATATCTTCTAACATAAATAGAGCTTTGAAAAAAAATCAACAAACAACAACAATTAGGGCACAAAGTAACAAGTACTGCATTATGCCTCAGATAGAAGTGATGTCCATAGCGTCCGCCAATTTCTCTGTACGTCTCTCTGAACAGTCAACACTCGTAAGCTACGGAGAAAAGGTCCAGAAACATTCAGGCTGAAACATCGGGACAAACCTTGTTTTCGCGCGGCCCGCTTGTTCTTCTTCAGCACCTTCTTAATCGCGCGATTCAGCTGAACGTTTCCATCTATCACCAAACTGGTTGGCAATGATTCTGTCTCGGTGTTTTCAAGGTCCTTATCCATCTTCTTATTACGACCACTGCTAACAACTACAGATGAATCTGAAACACTAGTGCTTAAAAAAAGTATGTATAAAGAAACCCTATAACATAGTGGGATACGACAGGATAGTGAAAAAAATCACATTAGTTTAGGACAGCGTATGTGCACCGAGTCCCGGGGTGCTTGACGTTCATGTTGACTTGTTAGCTCAACCATGAAAAATAAACCATAGATCACAGCTGCGTTGCTCGAAAAGCTAGACAGCTGGTGTCTTCTACCATCCTGGTGACCGTTCCACGGTCCGTACAGGGTACAGGGTACACGGGTGTACAGGGTACAGCATCATGATGTGTGATATGGCGTTGCCACTGCGACCCCCCCCCTCCCCCGGAGAAGGACTCCTGGTACGACCCCTCCCCCTTTCCGGCTCTAATTGTTTGCTCTGACGAGAAGGATTAGATACGTAACGACTCGCAAGCGGGCGGCCGCGTTATGATTCCATGGCAAATTAGCGATGGAGCAGATCTGTTGGCCGGATGCAAATCGCGGACCTTTCTGGAGGTGATAGCTTTTTTAGGTGTGGGAGGTTTTGAGAAACGGAAGGCGGCATGTTGAAGCAATCTCTACTGTTGCGTTTTCTACCTACTCGCAATCTGAATCTTCCCCCGTTCGTGAAATATTCCGAATGGGTTACGGACGCGTTAGCGGTACGGAGCGGGCTTTATGTTTCAGATAAGAATAACTTCATTTAAGCGAAATTTTCTGTAAAGCTGAAGAAGCCATCAGAACCCTCAATACTTCCTCTCTAAAAAACTGATTAATCCGAAAAACACCACAGCTTTCCTAGAGACTCGCTAGTTTAGAAGATATCTAGATGGACCACCCTTGTGCAACATTGTGAGTCATTCAAAAGCTCGACTCCTTCTGTGCCATTGTAAGGATACTCATTCGCGAACTTCAATATGCCTTCAAACACATATTCCCGTCGAACTGAGTCAAAGCATAATTTGGTTATCATCGATCGATTTGGTCCGAGTGTGCGCCGTGCATTACGCTTCTACGCAGAGGTGGTGGAAAGGTGTAACTTCTGATTTTAGGTGATTTTTATCCATGCAAGCAGATGTTTGTTTAGGGTTTGGAAAGATCGATACGCTTATAATCTGCCTTAATCTGTCAATTTAGTCATCTACGTGCTTACGAGTTCATGCTAACTACTGATATCGTTAATCAGTTTTTTTTTCAATATTTTCTAGTCTTCGTTAAGTTTGGGTCCTCTGCAGCTTTCCGTCCGCTCCATCAAACTTAGCGATGACACCTTTAAAGGCAGTTGGCACGATGAATTCCTCAGAGAGTAGAATTACGCTTAACAGGACGGAATTCCACCCCTCCCCCAGAGCCCTAACGCCCTTTCTAAGGAAGGTACCCCATAGCGCCCTAAGCCACAACATACCGACCAGAACGCCCACAGAGCCCGCCCGCCCACAAACGGATGACCGCACCTGATGCCGTACTGCTTCTCCGAAATTGCTTTCTGAGTCATTGAGAACGAAGGCTTTCTTCGCAGGTTCTTGACCATTTCACTTCCGTTTTTTCGCCATTTTCCCCACTATATAGGGCCCTGTTAGCATTTCAGGAATAGTGCCACATTATAGTGCCAACTGCCTTTAAGCTGTTTGGTGCTCACCGAAAATGTGTTTACGACCCCCCCCTCCCTGCGGCCAAGTACGACTCTCCCCACCGATGGGTTTCGCAAAACGATGCTGTACCCTGCTTCAGGATCACGTATGCAACCGAGTAAACCGTGCAAACTGTGCAGTTGCTTCGGTATGACTCCAGTACGGTAAGCTGTTTTGAGTCTGATGGCGACGACAGGTGAAACAGTCGCCTTGTCATAATCGTTAGGATTGAGGTGAAGTTCTTCTTCTGCTTTTAGGGAAACGTGATGGGAATATCTCATAGTGGGTCTTTCGTGTACCTTGCACTCTTTTCGGAGTCATTTCCAATTATGCACTCCACAAGCGGAGAAGTCTTTTTTTGCTCCCCCCCTCCTTTAATTGACGGATGAGAAACTCAAAGTGATGCAGGGTTTGTTGCACTACCTCGTGTTTTGATAAAGGAGCAGGCGTGAAAAGGTAGCGCAGAAAAATTAGTACAACAGGAAGTACAATCCTCGAGGCAACACTTAAAAGTAACTTACTTTCCTCATCTACAATCATTTCCGCATCTTTATCATCTTCTTCTTCATTTGAAGAGTTATAGGGAACGAAGGTGGCGTCTGTATCCATGGGCAAACCTGCAATACAATGAAACCTTCCATACAAAACTCACACATAATTTGCTATATGACACAAAACTACTAATAATGAAGTTAATATAGTAAGGAGAGCAAAAAGCCGAGAGAGGAGTAAAAAGCTAAGGTGGGAAGATGGAGAGGTGGAAGGCATCTCTGGTGGTGTAGTGTTTGTTTTGCACACCAACTACGAGGAGCGGGTACAGGTTTGAGCCCTACCGATTCGAGTCTTTTGCTTATGATTCGACATTCTTGTTACATCCTTCGCACTGGACTATGTTCAGTCAGGTTCTGCTACCTTTTCGCTTCGGAAAGTTGCAGATTCCAGGATGATTCGGATTGCCATAGGTCGTCCAAAGGAAAGCTCCTTTTTGAACTGGTTTAAAAACCCAAGAAGCGCTGTCCGGTTTGGTCGAAAGGAGGAGGGGGCAATTCGCTGGTCCCCATCGATCACAGTCGATGCTCTCTGTGGAGACGTGTAAAATTCTATAAAGATGAGCTATAGCGTGAGTTTTTCTACAATTGACAGGGGTCTCAAATTCAACAGAAACTAGAGAAATTGCAAAATGCCTCTTCCCTCCCCGCCCCCAAGGCGAATAGCGCCGTTTGGAACAGCCGTCATATAAAAGTCACATCGTTATCTCTCAAAAACTGACCTTCTACCAACTGTTTCAAGTCGTCATCAAGGCTATCAATGTCAAATTCCTTGCTAAACTGGCTAACAATTTCAGCTGATACGCCAGTTTCAGGAGCAGATGTTGAAATTGTGTCTTCTGGTGGATGAGTGTAATAGCGCAATTTACCGCTGTTCCATTCATGCAGTACCTTAAAACAATCAAAAGTAAGAAACTCGAAAAATACTTTACAGGAAGAGCCCCAGAACTTTTCAGAACTCAAAAAGCCTCCATCCCAGAGGAGCTTAATAAAGGAATACATACATAATACAATGGAATCATTACAGTGGAGGCTACCAGGGCACAGCATCGTTGGTTGTGGGGGGGGGGGGGACATCTCACAAACTAACAAAAACCTTTCTCAGGGCACCCTTATGACCGTTCTACCACATCTACAGAAACACGACTCCTCTGACTATTGGGGAGTTCGCTGATGATAAGTGCCTAGAACTAAACGGTCAGCTACCAAGGAACTGACTTGTGAACAACAGCGACCACCCCCTGTGACCAAATTATGACCCCATACGCTGCGTTTTGTACAGCGGATGTTGGTTCTTACCGGATTGAGCGCTTGAACGACTACACTTCTTCTTTGAATTTGACGCGAACACTATGTTAAACTCCATTAATTACCCAATATAGAAGTAACTTGCACACAAGGAGTCCTCTGTTATTTTCCCGTGGGGTGGGGGGGGGTCGTAGGGTAGATAACTGCCAAATGGCACGAAGTGGCGCCGGCCACTTTGTAAGACCTATAGCTGAAGCGAAAATAAACGAATAGTAAGGCACTCACGTGTTTAGCAGCAGCATTCGTGTCAGGCCGAGCTCCTTTCTTGAGTCTTCCCAGTTTTCGTGCCACCAGAGCAAGAAACTGCTCAGTAGAGTTGAATTCGGGAATCGAATAATGCAACATCAGCTAAACATATTATATGAATCAGCTGAAAACGACTGGGTCTTGGTCAACTGCAGACCTACCGTCTCTTTGGAGCATCTTCTCAATATTGCGATCACAGGAGCGATGGGATCCATTAGGTTATCAACACGAATCGCATTTCTTAGGGCTACCTAAATGTTATCATTTAACGGCTTTGAGCCACGAAAACTACAGAAGCGTAAAAAAAGCACCTCCACGGGATCGAGATCCTTTGCACTTAGTAAAACCACTCCAGGAGAATCAATGAGTCGAATGTGTTTGTCCAATTCGATTTCTTGAATTTCTCTGGAAAAAAACGTCGTTTCGAACATTTCGTTATGTTTCCCAACTCTTAGAGATGCTTCAAGGAACTGGGGCTCACTTTGTGATACCAGGCAAAGCGCCCACATTGCATGCACGTTTTCTTTTAAGACTGTTTATTACACTGCTCTTGCCAACATTTGGAAAACCTGAAAGATGCAAGGCACTAAATGGCATCGATATTGCTGTTGATAATATAATTATTGATAATGTGATGATTTGATTAATGAATGCTTGTGAATTTGATGATAATTCAGAGTGGGGGAGACAAACCCGCGCCTCCGCTGAGACCTTCGCGACTTGAGCGATTCAGCCGCGCGACTGAACTCTGCTGCCAATCATCGGACATCTGCAGGTGGCAATTTAACCTTATTCAAGACGTACTTTCTCGGGTGGGAGAGAGAGAGAGAGAGAGAGAGAAGAGAGATTTTCGCAATATATTCCGTTATAAAGATATCTCAGGAAAGCGGATGGGTAGCCAATTTTAAGAGGATAACAAAATGAACACGGAATTTTTCTCACGGCCAAATAGCTGCCTTAGCTGCGCGCATTCCAGGAATTTGCGTTGAGGCTGCAAGACGAGCGGGTTTCGCAATCGCACGATCTTGAATCGCTCGGACTAGGTATAAAACGCTCTTTCAACCATTACCTTCATGAGAGGGTGCACGAGCATAAAATGTCGCTGCTTAGTCCCGCTATCAACTGATCTCTCCCCGACTACCACAGCGATGTCCTGATAGAGCTAGTCGAAGGAAGTTCGCTGAAGTACTTACCGACTACTCCTACGCGAATGCTGGTCTTGATATCTTTGTTACGACAATAATTTCCCAACAATTTCATCACAAGGTCAGCTCCGATACACCTTGAGGATGACGAGTTGTTAAGATTGGAGCTACTGAATCGGCTCTAAAGAGAAAAGGTGCAGTGAAACTAAAGGCGTTTCGACAGAAGGTGGAAATAATTACGAAAAGAAAACGAACGATGTTGGTGTTCTGTTCTTGAGTGCTAGCTTTAAATGCAATTGTCGGCATCTTGGGCCCGCAAGTACGTAAGCCACTTTGTAACATTTTCTCTCGGAACAAGGTCGATCTGAAATCAAAGCAGCAAATCAGAAGGCAATACGGCACAGAACAACGAAAGTTGAAAATTATGGGAGAAAATGTGTAATCTGGAGGTTTGAGTTAAAATACCTTATTTAGAAGAAGAACAAGACGTTTACCACTGCTGATAACTTGTTGCTCAACAGAACTGCTTCGACTTCCAAGCGGGTCACGAGCGTCCAAAACCTAAGATGATGATCTCAAAAACCACCAGTGTTGATTCAAAGAAGAATAAAAATATCTACGGCCAGGTAGAACATTCGGAACAGGTCACCTAAATTTACCCCTACAAACACCCTATGAATATTCGAGGAAGGCATGATGGTTCTGAACTAGTCACCAAGGTAATCGTCCACAGACCGAAGTTTGTCCCTCCTCCGTTTCGGATTAGATCCCTTTTTTATTAGGGTGTCCGGAAAGTTCTGAGAAAATTTTGGTGCCTTACTTTGAGAAAGCGTAGCGCGCGAAGTTTCCTAAAAAAAAAAAAAAAAAAAAAAAAAAAAAAAAAAAAAAAAAAAAAAAAAAAAAAAAAAAAAAAAAAAAAAAAAAAAAAAAAAAAAAAAAAAAAAAAAAAAAAAAAAAAAAAAAAAACAAGGGAGATAGACAGATTGGTCTGGTAGATCAAATCAGCATCCAAATATTTCATTTCGTCATTAGCCTTTGTTGTAACCAATCGAATAATGTGCGACAGACACTACAGTCGACGCATCCTACTTCATCTTTACCGTTCCGGCCGCTCCGCCACTCAAGCGAGGAATGAGTCGCTGTCGTCGATGGGTGGCAATGCACCCTTTCTTGCAACCTGCTACAGGTGGTACGATCGCTTCGCAATGGGAGAGTTTAGCCTCGATGAAGCACCTCGATGCGGACGCCCTCCCTCTTCCAACACTGGCATCGTTCTGGCTTCTGTGAGGACCAATCCTGCCCAAAGTTTGAGGGAGTTGGAGAGGACGACTTCTACTTCTCGATCCACTATTCACGGCATTTTGAAAAGGAACGGCTTCCGCGCGGCTCTGCCCGGAACTATTCCGCGGTCTCTTACCGCAAGGGAACGTGCGGTGAGGGTCGATCTATGCCAGAAGCTCTTCGATCGAGAAAGAACGACGACTTGAGCGAGTTTCATAACTGCTCAGAATGAAAAGTGGATCTCGTACGAAAACCCGGATAGGAAACTGGAGTGGTTGCCGTTGGACCAAAAGCCAGAGCCCGTTCCAAAGCGAGGATGCCACGCCAAGAAGGACTTGCTCTCGTTTTTCTTCTGCTCCACCGGCTGCATTTATTATGAGATTCGTCATGAGGGTACTACTGAAACATCATCGATATTCTTTGAGCAACTACGAGAGCTGGTGTCCAGAGCTCCAGTTTCACATCAGTACCGGGGCAAATTTCACATCGACATGGACAACGCCCGGCCACATCATGCGAAGGCGACAAGGGACGAGCTGGAGAATTTAGGAATCGAATGGCTGCCCCATGCTCCGTATTCACCTGACCTTAGCCCTTGTGACTACCATGCTTTCAGGAGTCTCCAGGCTTACGCTACGGGTAAGATGTTCAACAACCATCAGGATGTCAAGCGTATGGTCGATGAATGGATTGCGTCCCGGCCTGCTTCCTTCTGGAAGGAAGGTATCGATGCCCTGCCCAATCGGTAGAGAGACGTCGTGGCTAAGAAGGGCCACTATCTTGATTACTGATTTTTCGCTTTTCTTGTTGTTAATATGTGTTGAATAAAATGACCGAATTTTCTCAAAACTTTCCGGACACCCTAATAATGCGACTTGCACTCGTTCCATCGCATATTCCGGCAGAAAGACTAGACTTGGAGAATCGGTGCAGAGACAGTGTCCGTAGAATTTCGTGCTTGGAGGAAACTAGCATTGCTGGAAGGATCTAATGTGCGCGCAGGGGTCCCTTCCCCACAAAGCGGGCTCTGTGAGACCATAGGTTAGAGTGTTGAATTTTGTAGCTATCTGCCATCTGAAGCACCACGAGGACACGGCCTATGGAGAGGGGTAGCTTTAGATGCAAGAAAATTCTTCGGATTTTTGAATTTCATTTCTCATTCGGACAATGTCATCTAGTAGGGGCGTCGCAAACCTGTTTCTTGTTTCGGAGGTAGCTAAAGCATTTAACCCCTTTCACTTGGACGGCGAAATGTGGCAAAGCTTAAAAGGTGGTAGGCAATATGGTGAAAGGGGAGCGCAATAGATACCAGAGGAAGAGATTCCGGGAGGTCGTAACTCGTGAAACTGTTCCACAACAACTTGATGGTTGACCTGCAGCCATGGCTCGTGCTTAGAGCGCAGACGACTACAATTCACAAAAGGTAATCTTACAGAGAACACATGATTCTCCCTGAGCCTAAGTCTTGGTCAAGGGAAGGGACACAGAACGTTAGCGTCTCTGAAGAACTATAGAACTATAGCGCCTAATTTACTCACCTGGATTATGATATCCGCTGACTCAATCATTTTTCGCACTTCACTAGCATATGCCTTTACGGTTTTGTCGTTCAAAGGATTGAATGATTCAGAGGCAGCACTCTTCGCTTCCATTTGCTTTTCGAATGCTTCTCCCTAAATCACTAAATTTTTTTGCCAGAAAATCATACAAGAAACTATGGACTAACCTCTCTGGCCGCTTTTGCGGAGAGCTCGTGAAGGTCAATTGGTATTGGACATTTTCGCTTCTCCGCACGAGCTTGCTTAGCTGCCTCCTGAAAGGGCAGCTAGAAGGAAAGCGGATTACAAGAAGCAAGGAAATATCAACGTCTAGTCTCATTGTCTGAAACACTTTGCTGGGTCATAATCGAATATATGCCAGACCTTTTAGTACTCGGAGGCTGAGTCATCATGACATCTTGCCAATGACTCAGCCTGTTAGCATCGACAGGACTCAGAAACCGAAAAAGTGAGATCTGAGACACTTCAGCAAACCTTTTATACGGTGGCACTTTTATCCTTTACTGCCCCATCATCCGAAATCTGACCGGTTTTAGACCGACTTTTTTCTCCGTCGGTAGAATTGGCTAGAAATTTGTTTCCCGAGTAATTTGACCTCAAGAATATGAATATCATATTCGCTCGGCACGAAACCTCCTGGCGCCCGCGCCACAGGCGCCGGCGCCAAAATACCCTAAATCACCAAATTCGCTGAAAACTTGTTCCAGGGGTAGTCTGACCTCCTGAACACGAATATCACATCCGCTCGGCCCGAAACCTCCTGGCGCCCGCGCCACAGGGCCGGCGCCAAAATACCCCAAATCACCGGCGCCTGTGGCGCGGGCGTCAGGAAGTTTGGGGGCGAGCGGATATGATATTCGTATTCAGGAGGTCAAACTATCCCAGGAGACAACATTTGAGCCAAGTCTGTCCACGGAGAAAGTCGGTCAAAAATTGGCTCGATTCCGGATGATGGGGGTAGCAAAGGGTGAATAGTGCCGTGCCCATATGGTATACTTAGAAACAGCCACGACAATAGAGTTTAAGCACAACTTACCCTCGACTGTTGCACCAAAGCGATAGGATCTCACGGGCTGTTGAAGGCAATGCCTGGTGAAGTTCCCTTCTCTTTTCGTAAGCAGGTGGACTCATTCGCAGAGGCAACGCCTGCACCATTTTTGTGGCACAAGAGACAGTAAGGAGGCCAGCGATGCCGTCGTTTCTCTCATTGGCCCCTCACGCCGCTCTAGTCAGCCAAAATAGCTGGAGACCTGCCGAAGAACATGGGCAGGGACACTGATGTCAGTACGAAATCAGCCTGGATCAGTCGCGGCGACCATATCGAATACCAGTTCCACTCGCCCGGTCATCTCGTTCGATCGCACTCTTTGTACTCCATCTGCTCGTACGATTGCGCTTGGGGGTTTTATTAAAAGCACTTTTTGTTGTTTTCCTCCACCAATGACTTTCTTGGCATTTTGACTCCGCTGTCTGAGCACCACTACCCAGGATATCTGATCGCGTGCTCTGCCCTTAAAGGCAGTTGGCACGAT